TGTATATTATAACTGCGCCCTCTGAAGTATTAGAAAAACATCAAGCTGTCGACAATACAGCTTTCCACCCACCTTTCATCACGATTCGCTTATTCTATAATCAAAAAGATCCGCCGACTCCTCAGACGGGCTGGCTGCCTTTTGTGTGGATGCACTTTGTAGACTGTTTTCACCGCAGTCGAGCACATCATCACCAATTTTCACCATTGGTCCAACCAAGAGAAGCAGGACGTGAGGTTGGTGAAGTTCTGCAAAGTCATTTAGTAAAAAAAATCTGGGGCGCTATCGCAAGATACGGGGGCATTCTCGAGAACAAGGCGTAGGAGGGGGCAGGAACTTTATGGGAAATGAAAATTGTGACGCACCTTAGATTCTCTCCTCCCCCACCTAAAGATAAATCTCACTATCAACAAAAAGGAAATGTTCTAGGTGGTTTTGATGCGTTGCCACAACAATTGTCATGAACTCCACGTTCATGATGTCATCCTCTTTTCTCCGCCTCCTGCTCCGCAGGGCTTTTAAGCGCGTGGAGCGTTCAGCAGGGGAGCTTGGGCTCCCTCGCAGCTGACTCTTGGCCCGAGGAATGCCGAGTTACCTCGACGCCCCCGGCCATCGCATAATCGCTGAATCGTCAAGGCCCGATCCTTCCGCGCAAAGGAAAAGATCAGGCCGCTAAGACCGGCGGACTCGCAGAGGCAAGCGTCCCCCTTTTGAGACAGGGTTTATGATATCAAAGTCAATTCTCAAGGCCTCCTAGTCAAGGAATTCGAGAGCATCAATCAAATTGGTCGTAGGTCGTATCGGTCTTAGGTTCATTCTATTTATTGGAAGTTCCAGAAATAATAAATGAATTGTTGTGAGGTGTAGATTCAGAAATATGAACCACCATCACTTATATCTGGGGAGTGAAACCCTCAGAACAACAATGTCCCCTCATCTTGCGATAGCGCCAAATCTGGAAACAGTTAAATAGTGTCTTTCGAAGATTAAGGCGTTCCTTAGTGTCTCAAAAGTCGCGCATCAAGACGAAGAGGTAAGAGCATGTTATCTGAACATAGTGAGAAGTGTCAACGAGCGAGTCCTCTGCTGAGGTGAAAATCATTCCTTGCAAAAACTACAGAAATACTGCAGAAATAGCGCCGGTGCAAGGACCGACCGTTAGTTACGCAAAGTTCAGTGAGAGGGTCGTAAATAGATTTCAAGAAGGAGAATACCCTTGCTGTTTCAGAGAGGAAAGATTCTTGGATCATTGGAAATTTCAAGAAAAATCGCATTTCGTAGATTTGGTCGTTATACATTAGCAGCCGATGCAAAACTAATTTGACGGGTACGCTCAATTTTTGAATACGGTAGGTGCGCGATATACGCAATGTAGGGACTGCCATGGCAATGGTCCCATTAGTTTATTTGCAGTTGCGGCTGACCTATTCACTTTCGACGGGCAATGGTAAGAGCTTTCAAATAGAACTAGGCGCTATCACAAGATACGGGGCATCCTTTGGGAATGAGCTTGGGGAAGGATAGAAATCTTTGGAAAAGCGAAAATTTCCTTCTTTTCCGCCTTAGTTCCGCCGCCAAACAGATGGACAATTCTTAATTACGCTGCTTGCGACATGCACTGGTATCCAATGACCCCTACTTGGCGATAGCGCACTAAACTAGCCTAGGAGGAGGGAAAGGAACCACTGCGAAAAATTTGGAAGTCGCTTCAGATTCTCGGCTTCCAACACACTCCACAGGGCCTAATTCTATGTGCGTGACGTCATAGCCATCATTGCGTACACTGCGTGCCTACCGTACCTCACATATCCCTCCAACGAATTCTGTAGGTACCTTACCTTCTCGACGCAGTGCTTGAAATTCAATTTTTAATAGTGTGACCGCGCGTCAGGTCCAGTCAGCACACAGAAGAACCGCTCCTAAAAGTGGCTCAGCAATTTGTCCATACGGGTGCTTGATACAAGTTGGGCTGGACGCCTTGCTTTTCACAGTATGCGTGGTCAAAGTGACTGCCGGCTTCCCTACAACCCGCGATCTTGCCAAATTGTGCACGAATTTCCAATTCTCGTGACAGTATTCGGAGTGGGCAGCCAGTCCACTTTCATCCCGATCTCTCTGTTCTCAAAAAATGCGTGCGTGCCCACCCTACTTGTCCATACGAAGTCAGCCGTCCAATGCGCAGCGATGCGACACTAACCGCGTCCCAGATCAAACCAATTGTAAAATCACATATGAATTTTGAAACATAAAAATCAATAAAAAAAGCATCACTGCAGCGAGGCGAGAGCAGTCATTATGGATCAACACGTTGGATTGGTCAGTAGATCGAAGGAAAGATCAAAGAAAACAGAATAATCAAACAACAATAAACAAAACAAGGTTGAATTTAAGAAATGTGGAAAGCCCTGTGAGGCTTCAAATGTCTATTCCACAACAAAAGCACCAAAAAAAGTCGAAAATAAAATCCCAGAAGGGTTCAATTTAGCCTGCGGCGATATTTCTATACTTAGCATTCTTTCCCAGAAATAATTCTGCTTGGATAATTATTAATTGTCTAACTTCAGCCATGCTCCGCTCCAATCCAGTATACTTCTCTACCGCTACGCACAGGCTCGTTCTTCTCGTTTGGACTTTTTGTAAATATTTTATCACGACGCTCCTCCCCCCTCCTTCACCGGAAAAACACGATACGCTCCTTCTTCACAACTCTTCTTCTCAAAAAAACACACTGTCGAGCGGCGGGGGGGAGCAGACTACTGAACGCGCAAACTTTCCTATAGTTCCATCTCACATTCTTTCCCGCTCCAGCTTTTTCCTCATCTATTTTCTCTATTTTTACCCTATATCTACATCCAACATTCTTCTAAAAGGCATATATATCGCACGGCGAGACGGCAAATATTTCCCACGCGCTCTACGACTCATTACGTGTAATTCACATCGCGACACAGCAATACGGGACCCCCCACCACAAACCCCTAACAACTACGACCCCGTTGGCTTACTGTGTAGGCAACGTGTGGTATTGCACCACTGCTCCGAATTCGCCGCTGGACACAAAATCGGCCTCACTCCAACCAAACCGGCTCGTACCCTCAAATAATCCTAGACTGCCGTACCAAGTTGAAATTGGAATATTCTGGTCTAACCACTGTGAGAATTTTTCCTGGAATTTCCAGACTTTTTCACATCTGTATAAGCTGAAACAATACAATAAAACTGCAAGATGCAGGAGCTAGCGCTTGTATGTGGGTGACAGTGGTGGTAAAGCACATTCACAATGCCCTGTAAGACATCGCCTCTATTGTTGATGTCCGCCGGACCAAGCCTTGGGGCAGGGGCAGCGGCAAGACCTTCCACCGGCGCGCAAGCAATTTTCATTATTCTTACACAGGTCCTGCGCATTAATAGTATCTGGGCGAATGCCTCGCTGGTATTTGCGAGTAAGCCTGCCAAATGCAACCTTGTACAATTGGGACTGCTACGCATGATGAATAAGGTGGACACTGTTTAACGCCACACTTCAGCTGACCCATTACTAGCTAATACGCGTGTTGCGCCGGCTGGCTACCCACGTACACACCCAGCGCTAATCCCTAACCTGACACCGTCGCAAAGCAGACTCGCTTTCATTAGCTTCGGAGCGTTTGATTGTCATTCCAGATGTCCCTGGCGAGTCATACAATACCACTGGCATCCGAACGATCCGGCAGGCCTCAGGCATCACGCAGTCAAAACAGCTTTCGACCACCGTAACCACGTTCTGAATGAAATACACGTGGCATCGGCGCACCTTCTGAAGACATGGACGTCGAACCGGCAAATGCTCCACTTTCAGGTTACAGGCTCTTATCTTATTTATTTATTTATTTATTTAGTTTCATTTATTTATTTATTTTATTTCTATTTTTAATACGTATCTATTTATATTTACATTATTTATCTTATTAAATTGAAGTGTTCTCTCCAATTTTTTATTCTCTTCCAGTAAAAGTGTTGATCTAATATACCTTCACATTGTTTATGCCCCTGTCCGACTATGTTTGTATCTTCAAATGCTGGAAAGGAGGAAGGGGCTGGACGCCAGCACGAGCTTGTATGAAGACTGGCCTGCTCCACGCCACCGCTCAACTAACCCGCGCGTTTTTGAATTAGCGCGCTTACCCACGATGCGTGTCATGGGGTGTGCGCGACGTAACTCGTCCAAATGCTAGGTCAGTCGCCAAAAACGCTGACTTGGTAAGACTCGTAGCGCCATTGTCGCGCAATCTCTCGATCCGATCAGCTTCCATCCTGTGATACTCGCTGTACTCTATCGCCCGCACCCCTAATTCTACGATTCTTTCGAAGCCGACCTCTCCCCTAGTTCTTCTAAGTCGTAGACACTGATATCGCGGATACACCCACAGATTCGCATTAGCAACACCTTCCGGGCCCCCAGACCCCCCATTAATGAGCCCTTAACCCCCGGTGCGCTACGGTGGCTAGAAGCGCTAGGCACGCAAGTGTACGGGTCCGCGTCACTTCCCTACTTCGAAAACCGTTATTTAGACGCTAGGCTCTAAGAACTTTGACACGCTCCACCTGCTGCGACACGCTCCGCCCACCGCTCGATATCTTGACTGCGTCGGAATGTTGATCTGCTATGCTCTCTCTACTTAGACTTCTCTAGCGCTCTCCGCGCTCACATCTATCATCTCCCTGCCGGCCTTTTGAACTTCTCCGCACCGTAGAGGAAATGGCTCGTATTTTTCCTGCGAGCGCATTTCACACGAATTTCGGCTTTTCTCTTTCTGCACTGGCGGCTCCACCGCCTTACCCGCTTACTTTCACAGTCTAACTGAATGCTTTTCCACACCTATTCAATCCTGAAATCTTGCCTTTAAGTACAGCACAATTGGCAAAACCACCTATTGGCACTCCCCGGCTCTCATACCTTCTTTAGCTTTCGACTTCACAGATGATTGCCCTGAGCGCGGACCTAGAAGCTGGCTCGTTCATCAATCCTGCTCTTCCAAAATCGTTGCACAACTGGAAACGAATTGAATCAAAGACACAGTCCACTCTGACACATAGGAGAAGTTAGTAACAGCTGTGAGCCATTCTAGTTGGTGGATCCTTCCCAAAATAGAATTAGAGGGAGCAACAATAAAAAAGCGCCCTGCTCCAACTGACTCCCTCCATAGACACCTATGGAATGCGGATTTAAAGGCAGTGAACACGATGGCTGGAGGGTGAGGTGTCGATAACGTCACTGAGACGCCATTGGTAGACGTGACTACTTAGCGTGCGGGGGAGTCACCACTTCACAACGCAGTTCCACCAGCGATAACCATCACTTTATGAAAACCGCTCCACCCTCCTGCCGTCGCGTTCTCTGCCCTTAAGCCGTTTCGACAATTGCAAAAGAACATGAACTCCCTCCATAGACACCTATGGAATGCGGATTTAAAGGCAGTGAACACATGGCTGGAGGGTGAGGTGTCGATAACGTCACTGAGACGCCATTGGTAGACGTGACTACTTAGCGTGCGGGGGAGTCACCACTTCACAACGCAGTTCCACCAGCGATAACCCATCACTTCATGAAAACCGCCCCACCCTCCTGCCGTCGTGTTCACTGCCTTTAAGCCGCTTCAACAATTGCAAAGGAACAAAAGTTTTCCAATTTTTCTGAACCTTTCTGTAAATTTCATCATTAGTCACCTCAGCGTTCACCTACTATAGCATCTAGTTGACGTTAACTTCTCGTAGGAACCTGAGCTGATCATAATCACTCATGAAAATTATTCACATTTCATCCGAAATTCCTGATTTCTCTCATGCTGCCGCTACCTTTCATCAGCGGTGTAGGCTCAATGAAAATGCTGCGTCACAACCAGTGATAGAAATTTATAACGTCCAAAAAACATAGGCAATCCCAAATACAGTTACAGTGTCCCTACACACCAAAAGAAAACCAGTAATCGCCGTCACAGACTGAACCGAGTCTCAGTAAAGATAGCATTTTCCCCAAAAAGACAGAACACTGGAATCGAATGGAATTCGTAGGACGCTCTGTTTCAGAAAACCAGAATCGCGTCGACTGCAGACCACACACCACAAGTGACGACGGCCTCCAAGTAAATCTGGTAACTAGTGGTTCATAGTGATAGCTGATTTTGGTAAATGATAGAGTTGTAATTAGTGACAACTGATAGAATACAACTGCAACAGGCTAATCATTTCATTGACAGAAAAAAGTTTACTTTTTGTGGAAGCCGTCGTCAATTGTGGTGTGTGGTCTGCACTCGACGCGCTTCCAATTTCTGAAACAGAGGCCACGCGGCAGTGGACGCACCCATTCTATGGCTCACCTCCATAGTACATCCAAACTCCATATAATACGTCCATACAACCAAACTATTCGCTGCGCGACCGCATGCTCAATTGTCATATAAGACCCGAGCCTGTCTGCGATGGGACCATAAATTGTTCTCGTAAAGAAAGAAAGGCCAGCAAAACAATAATTTGCATCACCATGAAACAAAAAAACAACAAGTATTATAGAACAGCATACAAGTAAAACCTAATCAGTAATGGTACCTATTTTCACAACTCTTGCTCAGAGGCTGACAAAATACGAGTTCATTACTACAGAGCTCACGGAAACCCTTCTAGATAACAGATCTATCCTCGATGAACTTTGCAGTCAGCCAGCGTAAATATGCGGAAGGCTGGCTGCAATTTCGCCAAGCGTAAAAACACCCTTACCATCAGTACTAGCTTTTAGATACGATTTTTGACACATATCATTACCTTAATTTTTTATCAACAAGAAAACATATTAGGAAACAAAGTAATCACCATCACGTTCTATCACTCTTCGCCATTTTTCGGGCAGACTTTTGATGCCTTCGGCAAAGAACTTTTCTGGCTTCGATTCAAAAAAGTTGCTCAACCAGAGCTCAACGTGCTTCGAAAAACCGCGAGAACTTTCCCTACAACCTAATATTTCTTGAATTGAGGAAGCTACAGAAACAAAAAAAACTTGAAGGCTTAAAAATCAACACAGATATTAACCAGAATTGAATTGTGATTGATAACAACGCATACTACTCCTCGTCACTCCATGAATCCTTACAGACGCAACCGATACCCTTCGTTTTTCCACGGTTCACCGATCCTCCGTCTTTGCATACACTCGAACTCCAAGTAATCCTCCATCAGTGCCACAATTTCCTGGCAGGCCTCATCGGACGAATTGACCTCCTCCTCCTCATCGCTCCACCAATTCGGATCCTTTTCTACAAGTTCCTCCTTTTTAAGTATTCCACCTTGGTCTTGGGAGTCTGCGGATCTGTCTCTTCGTCGTCGCTCCTCAGCACAGCGAACGGATTGAACTGTGGCAACGGTGACGGGCGAGCTCTACATTTGCAGGAGCTACCTGCGCTTTCTTTGAACTGAACGAGCCCCACGGAGGGTTTTCATCTGACGACGCGGCTTGACTCTGCACTCTTCAGCTACTTATTGTTCCCTTATTCGTAGGATCGTCCCATTGAAGCTGCCAAAAATATGACATTTTAGACGGCAGTCACGGTAATATGAATGACAATGAAGAGCTTACCTTTTCAGTGTCACTGAACCCGCTACCTTCAGCATATTGGGATACTTTTGCAAAGATGTTAGCAGTACCAGTGGTGCACGGCTCACTCCCCTGGAAACAAAAGTGAAATAGACAAATGTCCATCTACAACCCGTAAGTAACATTATATAGAGTAAAATGAAGCCATGGTTCTTGTGTCCACATCAAGCATCAAGAGCGGAAGTGATTTAGTTGCAAATGGCGTTGCTTACCACGCACACGGTCCGGGATCTAATCCTGTGTCGTACTTCGGTCTATTCAAAAAAGCGCTCTGCCCCAAAAGCCTCGAACCCCGTAGTTTAGTTGGTGATTTGAACAAGCATTAGCAGACTATTGGCGGTTTCGCATGGTGCCACAAACGCGTTGCGGTCAACTCGTCCCAACTCGCCCGCTTAGGCGCCGTCCTTGATGTCGAAAAGTAACGAAAACATAAGGGTCACGTTGAACTCCCTTACCGAATTTCCACTTTTTCGTCACTAGTGTACTCAATTTGAAGCAACCTTCAACCGTCCTCCGAAATCTCTCCAAAACCTATCGCGGTCGCTGCCTTTAACTAGTACCACAGTAGTCTGAGAGGAAAACACTAACAGGAACATCGTCTAGACTCCGCAAGTAACTTTATATGTCTTCTAAATCGTCCATAATACGTAACGATTTCTGAATGAATCTAACCACGATTCTGATGCACTTCGATGCGCAGCGCATCCCGCAAGGACCTGAGAATGATCATAACGCCCAAATGCCTAGTTCTTTTTTTTTCTATCAACGCAGCATTATTACGAAGGATTCGCAATACACAGTTACTACTAGAAAACTAGAAATAATTGAGCCTCATTTCAAATTTAAATGAAAAATCTAAATGCATACCTTCTCGCAGTTGCTATAACACTTCTTTTCGGTGGATCATCGACACCCGCAGTTTCAATTGAGAAGAACGCCGCATATTCATGTATGAAGCGACGCTTATCCACAGACATTGGGCGGAAATTGTGGTTTAACGATGGGCCAAGGAATGTCGGCTAAAGAAAACATTATTAGAAAGTATATGAAAAAAAACTATATAAGCGTTGTTCTGCTCCATATAGCTGAACTTTCACAACATAGTGAGCCTCTGAAGGTTTCAAAGGCATATTCCACGATGATTATTTGGGCGGAGTCTACCGCTACGCCTTCCCGTGTAGAATGGAATGAAATACACAATTGCAATTCCGTGAAGGGGATAAGCTCCGCAAGTGACGGACAAGGCGAAACGGAATTTTAAGGGCTTTTTGTAATTCTCTTAATTGCTTTCTAAAAACATGGATGCTCACTATGCTGCAAAAACATTCTCAGAATATGCTTCGTCCAAGATAACCAAAAGCCTACAGCAATCTAACTCACGTCGCCTATTTTAATCGAGAGATGCCAGGAAATCTTCTCCACTCCAATGACACACAGCATGAGCATAGTGTACGCAATTCAACCTGGAAGGATGCTGTTTTAATTGACTAATACAGAATAAAAATCTCATTTTAGGCGCATTAAGGTTTGATTCGACCTAAGAAGCTGGACTGCGCTAGGCTAACTTGTCCGAATAACCGTAAATACAACGTTAAAAGCGACAAGAAGTCTATTTGAAGTAAAATAGCTACTGATATTGGAGAATGAATTCTTCGACTGATATCTTTGGGCAAATCCGCCGATATTTTACAGATTGAAACATAAAATTTAGCTGTGCAAACTCGGCTTACATGATAGATTTCAATTCATGAAAACGTAGCTGAACCTCATATCTCCCCGCAGTAGATATGTAAGTTCTCTTTCTGGGCATACCGTTTCTCATAGCGTAAACACAACTGATGCTTCTTGCCTAACCCTGCTTTCAATACTTTCGAGACATCGAGCTGACTCTTGCAGTCATCATCGCAAGGTAGGCTGCAAAACAACAGTTTCGCAAAGCTTGCCTGATTTCTTCAAGATTATCCACCTCTATTTCAACATGCTACATGTTAACCTACTGAATCAACAAATAAAACCAACCAATTCAATTTTTCCATGCTAGCCGATCTTTTCAAGGTTCCTACACCTGCTGAGTCATTACTCGGATCACCTTCACTTTCTTCTGCATCGACAGCTCGAAGACGAGCAACAACCTTTTCGAACTGGAAGAAAACTATATAGCCAGATGAACAGGTTTGTAAAAAATCACATTACGATTCAAAAAAGCGAAACAAAAAAGTGTAGTTGAATGGAAAAACGCCACAACCACCTAATAAATAACCACCTTCCTAACCCATCCCTTTCTCTTATTTTGATACTCGCTTCTCTTTTATCCAAATGAAGAAAACTTTATATATCATCCCCAAAGATCTTCGAATTGACTAAACTCACCTCTGAGCATTTCAAGGTACTCCTTCGTTTGCCACACTCGCAAGTCACATTGACCGGATGTCGACATTCCGATTCCGGACAAGGCTCAGCTCCATGGCACGGCAATGAACACGGATGCTCACACGGCCGACGTAGAACCATACAAGGTCGTGTGCACTTTTCACCCTCCTGAACAAAATGAAGGTGGAAATAAAAAATATGGTTCGAAATTGAAATATATGACCCATACCTTCATACAATCACCAGCATGGCAATTTCTATTGCAGTTATGCACCCCACAGCTCAGTGGCTTGTCGCATACTCTCCCACACGAAACAGCTTCGATGTGGCAAGGAATATTTTTGCGAAGCTGGAAAATCGTATATAGATAAAATTTGAAGAAAAATGAAGAAATGCGGCTGATATTGTCGCAAGCGACGATTTTGACTGCCTTTCGCGCTAATCCTTTCGATGTGCTCCAAAGAGGCTGCACTAATAAGAAAGTTCTAAACCGTTCAATCTTGGACATAAAACAACTCAAATAACTG